CTCGCTCGTCCCGGCCGGCGTATGTCTACCATGTAGCCTTGCTGCGTTGGCCTGAATTTAAAACTGTGTTTATTAAAAAACCAAAACAGTGGGAGGGCATTCGGAGGCTGCTTCTGTGTGGCCGGGGGGGAGTTTTCACTCTTACGAAGTAGAATCCCCTCAGGATTCCCACACGACCCGCAGTGCAGCTGCCGCCTCCCGCCCCCCGAGCACCGGCCTGCGCTCCGCCCGCCGCGGTTTGCTTCTCGGCTCCCCGCGGCGGGGTCGGAGGGAGCTGTTGGGGGGCGGGTTCAGAGCACACGGAAGCAAATAGTTCGTCACAATGATGACGTAGTACCTACGGCATCGTGGAGTTCCCCAGCTGAACGCTACCCGCTGTGACGAACTATTTACTCGGTGATGGACTCGGGGAAAGGCAGGTGGGGGAGAAATTCCTGATTTAGTGATTGCTCATTACCAAAAACATAGTAAGTGTTTCTGAGCACAGAGATTGGCTGTGTCAGCAGAAGAGCTCTGTAGTGTAGTTAATCAATCTCTGCATGACATAAGCTGGCTGTTAATCTTGTCTTTTGCCGTAGCTGTATCTGTGCGTTGGTGGTTTACGCTGCTGGTGCAAAAGAGGTGAACTATCGCCCCAGCAAACGTAGTTACGAAGTAGTGTCTAGTGTAGACTAAGACTAAATCTCTGGAGATTAAACAGTAGTAATTTCTTACTTCTCCGAGGAAGGAAAAAAAAATTACTTAGAGAACTCTGGACAAGAGGGATTTGTGGACTAATTTAGGAAGATCATTGCATCCAGAAACTTTGCATGGAAAAAGACAGCAGTAGCTGTGGGAGAAGCTGGCAAGCGCGTGGCAAGGCTGAGCGCATTGCTGCAAACGCTGCTCAGATCTATACTTGTTACATTACGTTGATGCTGATCTTTTGTTTCTAAAATTGTGAATGGTAGACTTTTGTTTTGGAACATGCTATGTGTTTTGTTGTAAGTAATGTTAAAGGTAACTTTTATTTTTTTTCCTTAGATATGGGCTCATTATGCCAAAAAAATTGCCACAGAAAAATCTCGTTTCAAACAAACTCTCGGCGTTTGCAGATGACTCTGACGAAGAGGTCAGTTCAACAATTTTCTTCTGAAATTTGCCCCGTATTCTGCAAATTGTTTACAACCCTTAATGCCTGCATCAGGTTATGGCAGTGTCACTAAAATATGTGTCATCATTTTGGATTTGGGTGTGACATATGATCTGTGTTTTCTTTAGTGCAAGTTACATGGAAGTGATGACCTGATTGTTCATTACTTTCTGTCAGCTCTTCCAAAAGTTCATTACATGTGGCAACCTGTTTGCAAGAGTTAACAATATCTAGCTCGTAAAGAAATTTGTTGGCTATCACTGGTAAATATGTCTGCAAATAGAAAGACAATAGTAATCAACAGTCGTTCCTCAGATGCTAACTTTAAAGTGTAGTTGTTAAGTGTATTTTATCCTTTAGCTCATTCCACCCAAATTTGATATAACTGGTTTATGATGTTCGCAGTCGCTGTAAACAAAAGCAGAGCTGTACAAATCAAAAGTTGTAAAGAAAAAAAAAAAGGCAAGTAGTGAGAATTACTTGTAATTCTGGAAGTACTCGCAATACTTGTAATATTAGATTGAACAGTACGTAGCTTTTCTGTGATCACAGAGTTTATTGATACTCTGTGATGTATGACTGTATTGCATGATTTTGATACTGTTGTTTTCTGTAGTCTCCTTTAATTTTTAAATTTTTTTTAAGTATTACCTTCAAAATACTAGCTTTCTACCTTCCCCAGTAGAGGGTGCTGTACACTATAAAAATTACTACTTCTGGATGTACTGCTATGAGTATCAGGGGCATCCAAGAACTGGCGTGGTATATAGGCTGGTTTGGATACCTTACAGCAACCCAACTTCTAAAACAGAATTTTTGAAGGATTTAAAGCCAATAGCTTCATAATTTACAGGTAAAGAATAGAAACTCAGAGTTGCAGGGATGAACTCTCCACATGGATGGAGCTTTCTGGACGTAATGTTACAATTTACTGGGTTTTATTGATCTGGAATTACTTGTGATAATTTAATCATAATGTCATTATGTGCCTATTTAACTTTTTTCCACAAAACCCAGAAAATGAACTTTACATATACCCATAGTCTAGAATTTTAACGTTTAAGAAGTTGAAATTTAGAATCAGTTGAAATTTAGAAACAGAACATGTGTTATAAAAATGTTCTTACTGCTCTAGAGCTTCAGTCCATGCTCGCTCTTTTGTGTGGTTGAAAACAATAATGCTAATAAAGCGTCAAATAATCTGTCAGTTTCTGACTCCTATTATCAAAACTTTTTTTTTAAATGGTCTTTTAATGAACTAGCACTTGTTATTTTTATGTCACAGAAAGCCTGAATCTAGCAATTCCCAACCTCTGTGTGCCTGGTTTCATTACAGAATCCAGAATGCTGCTGTTGATGGTGCCTGAGCTCCCTTTATACAGGGCATGAAAGGGCTGAGGGCCTTCCTAGTAATGTCCACTCAACCCTCAACATGAAACTGCCTCAACGCAGCTTATAGGACTTAGAGGAAAGAGAGAGGACAGGAACATGTCTTAAATCCCATCTCTTTCCTCACTTAGCTGCTGTCCTCAGCACGCTCAGGAGGTGCGTCCCTCCACTTGAGCTCATAGCTGGCATCATGGCTCTGAAGAGAGGCTTTCCTTTAAATATAGCTAATGGAGATGACAGCGGCTCCGCTGTCCTCAGTGGCAGGAGCACTCTCCCTGTCAGTTTGGCGTTTGGTGTCTTTCTCTACATTAATGGACTGACCCCATATTTTCCAGATCCCAAGAATGAGCTTGAATTAATCTATTGTCATTAAACATTACATGGTAGGACTGGGAACCTTCCTGAGTATGGGGCTATCTTGTGTTTTTTCACTTCATATTTTCTTTTAATACCTAAACATTAAAGCAAAATAATGAATGCTAATAATTCTAATAATAACAATGTACGATGCTGTCTACTAACTTTTAGCTTAACAGATCAAGTATCCTCCCTTTCAGAAAGGCTGACATTCACTAGCAGCGTCTGCTATAAAGACTCTTAAAAGTTGTCATGCTCATCAGTATGGCACATACCCAGCAAAAAGTAATAATCTCATAACTGCCTTTATCAAAGAAGATCATTTTTAAAAAAAGCAAAATTACTTTATTAGTTCAATAATAATTTCTAAGCTTTTCAAGATAAGGAGCAGCATTTGGGAGGGGTTTCATTTCCTGTCTGCTACCTTATCAGTCAGAACTACATCTCAAATGTCTGGAGATTATGTATTTTTAACTGAACTCTAATAAAGTTTGTGCTGGGAAATCTGCACACCTGACTCGGTCTGTGATTATGTATTAGATACCAAACTTTTACTCCCTTTTTTTAAAATGTTACTATGCATATTTCATTAAGATTTTGCCTGTACCCTTGATGAAGGAATTTGAAAGGTTTTTTTGCTGTGGCTAAGTACATTAATGGATGTTAGTTGCTGATGAAGATGATCTTTGAATTACTTCATAAAAAACAGAACATCGGGGATGGAAATTTTCTTGAAATACAATGTTGACTGGGAAAAAGTAAACCAGGCGATTACAGTTTACTTCTAGCCAATATAGTTCTGAATTATTTGCCTTCATAATGAGGAGTTGTTGCTATCTTTAAAAACTGGGGGGGAGGTTGTTACCCTTAGGAAAGCCTGTTGTAGAGAGTAGATTACAGCAACAAACTATGATCTGTTAGAAATAAGTTTCCATCTGGCTTACTGTTATTTGTGATATATCCATTTTCTCAAAAAATATTATTCCCTTATTCATGCATTGCGTTTTCAGAGGTGGCCTGTCAGTATTCCTAGTGCACTGTTCCATGTTCTATTTTATCTTTGGAATTTAGTTCAAAATATCTCTGTGGTACAGCAGATAAAATTTCTGTTTCTTGATTGTATCAGAATTACCCAACATACATTCCTGTACCTTACCACCCTTTCAAAACTGATTTGTTGCTACAGGATGTAAAGTGTAGCTGAAAAAATAACTGTGCATAGACCACAGTAGGTGCTAAATTCAGGAGAGAGATCATGGAGTCAGTGTGGATAGTTCTGTGACTGTATCAGCTTGATTTGGTGTTTTTTTAGCGACCATCTAAAAGCTAAATCGAGTGTTTAAGCAGGCACGAAGGAAGAAGCTGAAAACAAGCAGAAAACTATATCCTGTTGTAGACTCAGATTTTTGCTTACAGATCCTTCCATTTACTTTGGAACTTTGCAAAGGATACATACAGTATGACTGAAAAAAAGATTGGCAAAGTAATGAGTATTGATGATCAGAGTTTATGCAACAGTTTTCATGCAAAATAAGACTATGTAGTCTAAAGGGGCTCTTAGAAAAAAGATTACTGAGAAGAGGGAAGTGGAGAGGAGTAACTTGAGAGGATGTATGTAAAATCAAGAATGATTCAGAGAAAGTAAAGTGATTTTGCCATGTCTCATAATATGAGCAGTAGTGTATATTACAAAATTGCCAAGTAACTGGTTTAATCTAAACAAAAGGAAGTTTGTTTTTTTCCTCCACACAATGTATAGTTAAGTTGTGGAATTCATTGCCACAGGATATTGTGGCATGGCCAAAAATATGAATGGATTCAGAAATGGATTAGTCAAATTAAGGGATGCTCTTGGTGTCAAACAGTGGTCCCAGTGCATCCTCCAGTTCAGGAAGTCCCTAACCTCCTGGTTTCTGGAAGCTAGGAGGGAATGCTGAGGAAAGCTAATTCTGTATGTGACTTGCTTTTCATGTTCTTTCTCTTAGTCTTCTGCTAGTAGCCATGACTCGTGTAGTGTATGAATTGAGATGAATCTGTTGCCTGACTTGATTCTGCGCCCCCCGGCCCCTTGAAGGCTTGAGTCTCATGTACATTTAGCGATCATCCATGTGCAGGCTGTAGTTGGATAATATAGGTCTCTACGAGGGCAAGCCTTAGTGATTCACTGCTAACTACATATACACGAGAGTGCAAGTAGCTCATTTTAAGATGTTTTGATACCGAAGTGTCATGAATCCAAAGATCTCACAGTCTGAGATTCCTTATCTGATGTGAGAAGAATGAAGTGAGCGGAGTCAGATCTCAGCCTTTCAGAGACGTAGCCACATAGGGCCACAAACCTGGGGCGAGATCCATAGAAACACATGCCGGTATCTACACTTGGGTTCACTTTGTGAACTGGCTGGCTGACTGTGCTTCTTTCACTTGCTGATCAAATAGAGCTCCAAATTATCCTGCTGTTGATGTTTGCTGCACATCCAGTTAAAACTAGATGGTTGTAGTG